AGTGGTAGGTAAGGCCTACACTAAGACAATCGTAAAGCCTAAAACGCTAAAAACAGCAAGAAAAAGGAAAACAAACGGCCGAAAAAAAAGAGGAAAGAGTGGCAAGACGAGTTTCATAACGGGGAAACGGTGGTTAAGTGAAATTTCGCGGAAGTACGGGAATGCGACGCCATGTGTGCAATGGCACACAAAACACCCAACCAGCTGATTTAGACTACATACTTGAATCTATTTATTCCCCTGCTGATATTTTGCTGTACTTTTATGATTATTCAGTTGTTCTGCACAGAAAGGTGAGTAAATTCCCTTATATTGATTAGTTTACGATTAAATGTACCTAAGTTTTCATATAGTGCGTTGTTTTATTAAGTGCATGCTAGGATTCCAATTTTTTTTTATTTGCAATGGATTTTCTTCATTTGGGGTCATTTGGGACGACAGGCAGAGAATATTTAGAATATATTAGCGCAGAATAATAGCAGAATACTAGGAATAACAGCCGAATACTAGCTTCTGTACGAGGCGGTCGACCAGCTGACCATTCCTGGCAATTTGCCAATCAGCGTATCGATTTTCCACCAACTTCGCTCCAGTGCGAAAGCGGTGAAAGAAAATTCGAACGCGTAGTCAGCCTAGCGAGGGGCGGAGCCCTGACGTCCCCCAATGTTCCTGCCCTAATTGTGCCCTATTCTAACGAATTGCGACCTCATTCCTGCACAAATGGTATCAGGAGGGGCTTCGAATTCAAACTATATGCAAATCTCCGGAACACCTTTTCTTGACCTGTTTCCTGACCTGTGCCTTTAAAGCAAAAAGTTAGAGTTGAACTCAACATTTTGGTTGTTGAGTAGCAAGGTGCAAGCCAAAACAATAAAATTAATGAACTATGAAAGGTCAAGAGCACATAATTTGGACTACGAGGAAGCTCTACTTCTCCCTGCTTCAAATAAGATCTCTTTGAATAAGGAGTGCGATTCATCTCGGATTTAAAAAATGCTTGATTACTATTTAGTTTCCAAATGGGTGGATGTGGTGAAGGGGTACTGTCGCACATGCTCTCCCAGGGGATCGATTCCTGGACCGATATTCGCCCAGGCTAACCAGACTTCCATCCCTCCGGGGTAGGTTAAATAGTTCCACAATCACCTGGGACGAATGACCTGGGACGAATGAAGCAACAAAAATGCTTGTCTATTCATTATATGTGTAAGGCAGATACGCATTCAATATGCCTTGGTTAGGTGAATGGAAGTCAAATGCAGGGGTACATCCAAAAACCTCGCTTTTGACTATCATTTAGTGAATTGCGGAGTTATCTTTGGAACAGAATAAGTACATAGTTCCCTTGGGTTCTGGCCTATCGTACATCAGTAATCGTGGGGTCGGTCAACTCTTTTCGTAGTTTTGGCTCCGTATTCAAGAGGCTCTCCGAACGGCTATCNCACCAAAATTGTCTATTGGCGGAACCGAATAAATGAAATGAATTAATCAGGCGTGAAATGAATTAATGAATTATCCACTTCCTATGTCTACTCATGAAAAGAGCACTGCTTCCTTCATTACAAACCTCCACATTATAGACCTTTCTTCTCCATACCCCTAAAATACATACTACTTCCTCGCCTAACTTTGCCTGACAGCGAGCTGCACAATTGCACTCAAAAGGGTAAAAGCAAAAACTCCGATCGAAAAGATAAATTCTGCATTTTCCTTATGGGAGACTCCGAAAGCGAATATGGCTACACAAAAGAGGCTGATAATGCTGGGCACGAGCATATGCTGCACACTCGTCCGTTTCCCAGTGCCCCTTGAGTGCGACTTCTGTGAGAGTTAGACGGAATCGAATACTGTCTGCAGTCAAACTGCAGCCAATCTGGCGTAAAGTTATTGTGTGCGCTCGTCCCGTACAACTCGTACTCTATTACATGCTCCATGGCCTTATGATGGAACGCTAGAAACGCATTGAGTTGGGTGAGCGCAAGTCATCAGCGCTTCTTTGTTTGTCTAGCCAGACAGTTCTCTATGAGTTCTACTCATAACAAAGGCGTCGCTTCCGAACACTTTTAAAAAATCTAATTGATTACAACTCAAAATAGGACTTTTCAAAGTTTCCTTTCTGGTTGTAGCACCATGCCACTCTGTGGACATGCACAAAACTCCCATATTAGGATAATTTTGACTTCCGAATTTCAGGCGACTTTTTTCGTCATCCCACGTGTAACCTCCTGGCCCATCATGAGCATCGCTCTATTTTATTCGCCGCTCATTCACAATGGACATCCAAGGAAGCGGAAAAGTTGTGTGCTGCTATCCAATTCTACGGGAAATTTGTTCATACTGTCACGGTGAGGTGTAATTGATTATCCCTTCTTTGCCGTCATTCAGGGATCCATTTTAGCTTGACTCCTCTATAGCAGAGCTATGTGTCGGAGGCCAAAGCACAACAGACATCGGTTCATGGTTTACGTTTCAAGTTGCTGCAGGTGGTACCGACCCTACGCCTCCAATTGATGGGATTGAGGTAGGTTGAAATAATTGGACCTCGTTCTCTTAATTTTTCCCCTTCTGATCCCTCCTGTTAGACCCATTGCGGCCATCTTCCAGGACTAGCAGAGATTTTGCCAAACAAAATCCACTCTCAAGAGTATTTTCTTGATCATACCTGCAGTAAGATTTGAGGCGAATTTTTGTNGGGAGCCTCTAAATCATTCCTGCCAAAATCCATTTTTGCCTTCTCCTACTTAGTTACTCAATGTTCAATTGTCAGTTGCCCGGTTGGCTACAGAGTGAAGCAAAGTTCAATCAAAGCACATATCGTTGTCAATCAGTGACCGACCTGCCGGAGTGGAATCCAAGAACGCATCGAATCCCGCTTGGTCCACTGTTTCCAAACGCGAAAGAGGTATGAGGCATATTGGTGTCGATCCTCAACTTAGAAGCATCCGGCCAAAAGAGCTTAACCTTCAGTTGCAAAGTGATTAGCCGAGTTGAATGTCATTCTTTTCAGATCACTTTCCGTTGTACTCTTCCCCAATTACGACGGATGCGTCGTCTTGCTGTCTACCATATTCCGGCGACACTGATTTTCTCACCAGAACAGCTTCAGGTCTTTCGACTGTCAATCATCGGCAGTAGGAATAAAGCTCCATCCTCACTGAAGCTCCGCCCATTCTTTGAATGGCTTGATGCTGATCAACTCGGAAACAAATTGTGTATGCAATTCTGCTGAGTTGACCGCCTCCTATTGTACCAGTTTCCTTGTGATAGCCCGTTACGGTGGCCGGTGATATCCTACAGCGTGCTCACCTTTGCCGCAAAATTAACATTTCTAAATGAGAGAACTTGCTAGTTACGTATGATAGTTCTTTCACAGGCCTTCAGAACCCTCAGATTTCGCCGAATATGTTGTAGAGCTACCTTAAACGGGTGGACGATAGGGTTTAAATGATTTCGTGGCGAAGTGAACGCATGTTATGTATGATGGTACCGAACTGCTCTTGTAGGAATATTGCAGATGGTTGTTGATCTAGTTACCGTAGATGATCTCAAATCCTCAAGTCATTGTCACTTAGTAGACCGTTGCTCATGTTGTCGATTTTTGAGAACGTCGATAGTTTGGGGACTGCCTTTTTTTCTAAACCCTGCTCTCCGGTCGAATACTCTTACGAAATGTCTGTGAGAACCGTAGTGTGAATTGATGCTGCTCCAGAAATCATTCTTCTGAGAATTCGTGCGTATTTCCTATGTTAACAATGATGTTCCACCCGAATGGAGGCCTCTGTTTCGCTTTTTTGCCTTTGATTAATTTGTCGATTTGTTCGGGTAATTCAACGACTTTCACGAATCGATGTCACTCTGTACAGATTTCTACTTGCTCTTCCTTAAATGTATGTTATCGTTTAGAAAATAAAGACGTTTATTGACTTTCTGCATTTTTTCGAACAATTTATACAACTTTTATTGGAAGTATCGTTCAACATTTGTAGGTCTATCGCAAAACTTATCATCACCGGACGACTAAGAATGTTTCAAGAGATCAAAGAGATTCTGCAACTCGTTGAACATGGGCGGCGTGTAGTCCCGACACCTAGAACAAGGGGTATCATCAAAATATGTCATGGGGAACGCAGTACCATGACGAGAAGGCTACAGTCGCGGTGTGTCAACTTTCCCCAAGCTATGTAAACAGTTCCATAACAGTTTCAATCATCCTTACTATACAATAATGCGCTCGATATTGTCTGAAGAGGCACCTGCAGAATTCGGATCAGGTTTGGAATGGGTTGGGCATAGGACATGGCGGAGAACGTCCGTTGCGCGCGTCCGTAGAAAGTAGGTCACCCCGCCCACTTCGCGCGTGGCGCACTCCACTGAGGTCTTGAGAGGGTGTATGTCACTTGGCGCGATGGGCGGGGTTGCGCCTCCCATTTGAGGCGGTTCGCGGGGAGAACGACTCGTTCGCATCGGGTAACCCTCTGTCTGTCCTCTCCAGCTGATAGAAGCGCGATCAATGACGCCGCTACTATTAGACGCCGAGTTACGGGCCAGCTTGTATTCTGCCTACATGCATCATCTATTTGACGCTTTTGTGTGACTTTTTATTGCTTCTTGTGCTTATCACTACCTCTTCATTGTAACTTGACAGTATCCATTAAGAAAGGGAAAGAAAAATGTTAAAAAACCACGCAAAAGCGCCAAATGGATGATGTATGTAGGCAGAATACAAGCAGGTCCGCAATTCGGCGTCTAATAGTAGCGGCGTCATTGATGGCGCTTCTAGCAACTGGAGAGGACAGACAGAGGGTTGCCCGAAGTGAACGAACTGTTCTCCCCGCGAACCGCTTCCAATGGGCGGCGCGACCCCGCCCGTCGCGCCAAACGACCGCCTCCCGTTTTGAGATGACATTACAGTGCCATATCGGTGGAGCGAATGATTTGCGTTTGGTCGTGTTATCTTCTCCTTTGGCTAAATGCCGTGTACCAAGCTCAATTCGTATGCCTCGCTGTCAACTGCGACGTTTGTCAAAGACCCCCGCCGCGTGGGACGGCTGCGGCGTGACCTAGTTTCGACGGACGCGCGCAACGAAGCGCACGCAGGACAAGGCCAATAGAGCACATGTGAGTTCCACAAGGGGCGGGGCATGCGATACAGTGGGCGATGTCCTGTGGAAAATGTCTGAACTAGGTTTCATAGCAGAAGAAACGCCGGGAAAAAAGGGGCGAAGGTGAGGGATGGGTATACAGGAGAACTGAAGGGAACTTACCGGCGTTGGGGTGAGCGTTCTCTCAGTGGGCGGTACTTACCACGTGAGATCGTGACTCGATTCAGCGGAAGCACGAAGGCCAGAAAAAAAAACGAAGTGAGTAAGGCCTTTTGCGTGCACGGCATACGTAAACATGCCAGGTCTCCGCCCACAAGGGTTGAGGCGATTCAAATTGTCCTCTTTGAAAAAATTTATATTTCTGTTGGAAAACATTCTTTAACGCGGAAAGGAAGTATCCAGAGGCTATAGGAGAAATGTGGCCATCTTCGTGATGTGGGCGGAGTTTTCGCCAAGATGGGCGGAGTTTTCGCCAGGGAGGGTGGGGTAAGCGTTTTGGAACGCGGGAAAGGGGTAGTTGGAGGTAATGGAAGGAATATCGTCAAATCCTCGGAGTGGGCTTAGCTTTCACTATGGTGGGTGAGTCTAGAATCGAAAATTTATAGCTCTGTTCAAAGAATGTTTTGGAATGCGGAGAAAATGGTTAGTGGCAGCTGAATGAGGGAGTGGGGGGGGGGGGGGGGGAGGGCCAAGCTCTTATATGTAGAAGGAGCGGTCTGAACAGAGGTTACCGGAGCTATGAGCAATCACTGACAACTCTGCTTAACCAAAATATATCGAGCAGATGCCTCTTAAGCGGTTACAGCGATCGAATTCAATTTACTCATTCTGAAACATCAAGTTTTCCGCTGAATGACAGATCACAGATGAGCAGTCGTGGATATACAACGCACGCGTTAGCATGCATAGCCCATCTGCTGAACAATAGTAGCTGATAACGGGCTCACTTGAAGATATCTTCTTGTGGCTCTTGCGTTTCGCGAGCGGTACTCATAAACTGATCTCCTCCAAAAGGAGGATACTGAAAAAAATTCATAACTCTTGCACGGTCGTACATACAGTAGCGCTCAAAAGTATTCGGCCTATTCTTCTTTGCTATGTTCGGCATTAGGGCTCGTACACTTAAGACATGGCAAAAAGGAAAGAAATCTCAGAAGGGCCATTGTCTGTGATTTCAACGATTTCGAGTTCAAGTCCTTCGGGATATCTGGAACACGATCAGATTGCAGGTTAATAGTAGTAAATATTCACAGTACACCCATGCTACATGTATCGCAATTTCGCATGATTAGATCCGGTGGGAAAGTTAAAGTTAAGTTACGACTGAAAAGTATAACTGAAGAAACATTTCGCCGAATACTTTTGAGCGTTACTGTACGTCTACTACTCTTAATAAGAAGAAGCAAGATCTCGATCTTGGATATTTTTTAGGTACTCACAGGTTCTTCATGGATTGGTGGCATCTGAAATTTGATGGTGAGCATGAGAGGTAAATGACTGTGAAGTACAATTTGTTTATTATTTTATGGAAGAAAGGGTCGAAAACAAGCCTTGAGAAGCTGATTTTTAGGAGGGACATTTTATGACGCAGCGCTATCACTATGACTTATTCTATTCACCGAAAGAGTGAAGCCAGTTAGCACCAAAGCAGCTTTGATCTTTAGTTTATGTTTGCTAAACCTTCGCAGTAGAACGGCCTTTAGATCCATACTATTTTCTAC